CCTGCCTCGGCCTCCCAAAGTGCTGGGATTACAGGTGTGAGCCACCGCACCCAGCCCCCGCCTCATTTTGTGACGCTAAAATGAACCTGATGACTCGGTGTAAGGTTCCTCAGGTGGAGAGAACAAGATGGCATGGACATGGGTGCACTGGAGTTTTGTCCATCTATAGAGTGAATGACTCTCACCAATGTCTCTCAATACAGACCTACTTCCTCTGGGTCTCCGCTAAAGACTGCGTTCACGTCCACCTGAATCTGACCCGGTGAGAGCTGCAGCTCCATGCCTGTGCCCAGTATGCTGGTGTTCACCTTGCAGGAGAGATTCGAGCTTTCCACCCCGGAGCAGGGCCTCTCTTTATGTCCCCTGGGTGGGGTTGCAGCCAAGGCCTCCTTGCTTTGTCAGGCTGACTTCCACTACTTTGTGGGGCCCTTTCTCCCAGGGGAGGGAGTGGTGGTGGCCCCCGGGAAAATCTCCTAGCCCTGTCTTGGGTGGCATACCAGCCAGGCTGTGTTCCTAGCAAAATCAGCTTCCCTGTTCACACAGGCCTGGCTGCTTTCTCATTTCTCAACACCAGCTTTCAGTATTGCTCCCCAACCTGCCAAAGGGTCACAGGCTTCTTTGTCCCTGCCCCCAACCCCAAACAGGTGTGGTCTCATGTTCACACTCACCACCAACCTGGCCATCTGGATGGCGGCCGTGGTGGATGAATCTGTGCACCAATCCCACTCCTACAGCAGTTCTCACAGCAACGCCAGCCACGCCCATCTCGCCTCTGACCGTGAGTTTCCCCTTAATGCTGGCCCTGTGGCTACCAGGCCTTGGGCTGGGTGCTTTATGAGTTTGTAACGTCAGTCTCCCATGAGGGCATGGAGGCAAAGGAGAGAGCCAGGGACCTCCTCCTGCTGCAGGATCTACCTCTGCAGGATAGGTGTAGGTGACCCCAGAAGGGAAGTATTGGGGCACCCTTTTATCCTTGAAGCTGCCGCCCAGGCCCCCCGTCCAGTCTCCATCCCACCAGGAAGGACCCAGGACCAGGAGCAGTGGTTCATGCTTGTATTCTCAGCACTTTGGGAGGCCAAGGCAGGTGAATTGCTTGAGCTCAGGAGTTCGAGACCAGCCT